GTTTTAGATCAACTTGGGGAAACCCGAACGTTTTGGGACCGTAAATCCGGAAATTTCGCCGAAACGCGGAAATTAGGGTTGGGACCGAAATTTTCGCGAAATTTTTTTTCGTTCTCCTTGTTTGAGAAATTCCGAAAATAGGTTTAGGCTTTTAAAAATCGGATTTTGACGGTGGAAATTCTCAAAAATTCGCATTTTTGAAAATTCGAGCGTTTTTTCCGAAATTTTCCGAAAATTTTTAGCACACTAAGCCGTATCTGACCTTAAATTGCAACTACCGGGCAGTTCACTTATTCGGAGAACTCCCGGTCTCATAGTGATCTCAAAGAGACCTAATCATAATACCTTTCAAATTCGTTATTAATTGGTTATCTTTATTTACAAACATTGTTTTACTGATTATCATTAGTTGGCTATCTTTATTACAAACATTGTTTACTGATTATCATTCGGATTTATTTTCGTTAATTATCATTAATTAAATTTATTGATTAAATCATTATAAATTCCTTATTACGAATTTTTCGAAGGGTTTACGGGAAAATTATTTTTTCCGTTTGATTAGGTGTCTACAGTCCATCAGTGGGACAGGGGATTGTATGTATATTGCTTGATTGTTCTACCCCTGTTCCCACTCTCCCTACCCCCCGTGTTCTGTGGTTACCGGGACTTCTCAAGTACCGCATCAGTTCAGACTGATATCGACGGAACAGGACACCGGGGCACTGCCACGACGCAGTGCCAGAATCGCAGTTCGTGCCCGCCCTGCAATACCTCCAAGACCGAAGAAACTCAGCAGACGGACGACTCCAGCAGCATCAAGTACGGCATTGACGGTACAAGACGCCACCGGAGATCATCCCGCATACCCAGTCCGAGGAGCCAATGAGCCAGCGGCTGATTATCGTGGGCGGCTACTRGCATTTWYRGARGYCGTAGCTGCCGTCGAGGCCCGGAAGGAGACAGCAAAGGCAGAACGTCAGCGGCTAGCCAATGAAGCGGCAGCCGAAGCTCAGCGAACGACTGAGACTGACGCAGCGACACGAGACAGACGGAATGCCAGCAGCACGGAGTCCTTGATTGCTTGTGAGCATCAGTGGACRACGATACTCCAAGACATGATCTTTGTGCCTACAGAAGTGCAGGCAGACCCGACACCGGCGGAGGCAGAGAGAAGTAACCTGGCTAACTTGCTGTTGGGCATGATGAGAGGTATTATGCGGAATAATACACTGCTGCAGTCACATCTGCGCACGGACGCGACGCAGTGACAAACATACAAGAATGATATCACTACGTTAACAACTGCTATCCGCACAGAGGCAATACAGCAGCAGCAACAGCATCAACTGTTGAATTCCACTATCACACGCGTCAACAGCATAGAGGCTAACACCTCAGCAGCGCCAGGCTGCACGACAGACGTGACGAAGCAACTCAACGAGCGCATCGATCACGTCGTCACCATCATCGACGACATAAGTACTTT